TCACCGACTTTGACGTGTTTTTTTTGGTTTCGGTGCATTTTTGGAGCCATATTCATAAACCCACGTTTCGTTACCAATAATGGTACGTTTGATGAATGAAGGGTCTTCAGCTATGTTGTTAAGCATCTCATTTGCAACGCTTCAAAATATTAACTACAATGTGTTGAGTGGATCCAAGGGCGGCTACTATATATCTGATGCCAACATGACCATTTTTAAGCGCTGTTTCTCTAACTTTTTCGCTGTTAGCGTCATTAACAGAAATGGATGAACGACTCGAATGAGGTTTCGATAACTTTAAAACCTTCACTGAATGCCTTGTGCCATTAAATTGATAAAATATACCCTCCCAACACTTCTGAACAATTTCAATGATTCCGTAGCCGTGATTTCATTGGAAATACAAAATTTCAAGCAAACTCGTTGTTCTCTTTTTTCCCCATGGTAAAAATTGCCAGACAAGACCAGCCGCGTCGTAAATAAACAACTGTTATAAGCACCGTAATTGACATACGGAGATCGAAATTCAAGCGAACATAAACCATTGCACCAATGTAGGAATAAAAATATGTTTATCGATTCGGTTTGAGTGCTCCACTTTATTATTATGTTTATATATATTTATGTCATCTGCATTAATCATTCCTGCGGGGTCAGAAACCCCATTGCCGATTTATTGAAGCTCTCACACGCACACATATATATACATATACAAACTTACACATACATACATAAACCTGTAAATAAGCTTGTGTTGTACGAATTCGATGCTTGTCTTTACTGTTCGACGCTCCTGTTTCGTTTTGGGCAAAACTGGTTCTGGCTTTTTCGTAAAATACGCTCAAAGAGTTAAAGCTACAAAATCCAACAACTGCGAACCAAATAAAATCGAGAAGAAAAGCAAAAATACACACATCTACAAGTAGTTTTGTTTTTGTTGCTATGCCGTTCTTGCCAACATCGGTGGAGAGCGTTCTTCATAGTTTGTAGATATAAGAACATACGCACACATATACAAAGCGTTACTTAAAGTTTGGTAACTCTATTGCAAACTTATGTGTACCTAGACGCACAGTTAAACATACATATGCACTTATACATATATATATATATATATATATATTATAAACATACATATGTCCATGTACACAACTGAAAACCCAATACCAAAAAGCATTAAAATATTGGTACTAGCAACAACAGAAACAACAGCAGCACCAAGCACTTTCAGCGGCCAACAACAATAAGAACAGCAGCAATGGCAATAAGAACGCAACGGTGGCGGCAACAGCAGCCACAACTAAAGTACAGCCGTTTTGTGTGTTTTTGTTGTTTGTTGGCTTGACTTCTGGCTTCGGTTTTGGCCGTTTTGAATTTGAAACCGTTTGTAAACTTTCCAACACATAACACACACAAGCTAGGGACTTCACCCCTTTCACACACACCACTATAGGTATAACTGTGCGCTTGCATACATACATACACACACACACACTCACACATATGATATATATATTAACGTCTTTAAAGGCACATAAAAATCTGTATTCTAATGCACATTTATGCATGTAAATGTGTAAATATGTGTATACGTATGCCTGCATACATATATACATAGTTAGTTATGTAGGTGTTTTCACAAGTACTTTTGGACGTATACGTGTAGTGGCGGTGGGCAGAGGTCGTGTTTTGGCCTATAAGGAAGTGGGCGATCTCGAGAAGCGTACAAAAATAAAGCAAGTTATAGAGCGCAGCAGCGTCCAAAGCAGCTATATAAATGCATATATACACACACACACATATACATATGTATTACATGTGTATATCAATTTGATCGTAGTTTGGCAGGAAAAACGCTAGAATAATACGAGTAATTGGTATTGGTTTGTGAAGCAACATTTTTTATGTTCCAGTATTTACATAAATAAATGTGCTCTTACATATGCATACATATATACATAGGTATAGACAAATGAAATAAGTATTATGCGTATCAATTGTGGTGCATCTCGCTGTAATCCAGAATAGACGACCGAAAGGAGTACTGACTTCTTGCGGGAGTTTAGTCTTTATAAGGTTTACATATGTATGTATGTATATTGTTTATAGCAGAATAATTTTAGATACCGATAAACTTATGCTGTTTGAAAGATTAGAAAAGAGTAAGATTTGAAAAAAAGTTGAAATGATCATAGTTCTCACACTGAACTTGAGAACAATATTTTTACACTGGCGAAGAAATCAAAATCCTCTGTGAATTTATTAGCGATTATTAACGAATAAATTTTCTACTAAATATTTCATTAAATTGTTTATGAAAAAGTTGCAATAATAAATGTCAAGGAGTATCAACTCATTATAATTCCTCAAAAATTTCTGAGCAATATTTTTTGCCGCTAACATTTTGAAACAGCATGTATTGTCCTAATTTATTAAAAAATATTAGATCTCCCAAGAAATTTCTTAAGCAGTATTGAACCAATTATACAAGTAAGCAGTAGCGGATTTACAGATTCGCCGCCAGAAGCCTAATCAACTTTGCCGCCTTAAAAATTTGATTGATTGAAATATCAAAAAACATTATCTTTTTTTTTCTTGATTTTGTTTTAATTCTGTAAGCAAAAATAAAAAAATGTATAAGTGAAATCTGCCGCCTGAAGCATACTCAGCCTGCTGGTAAATCCGCCACTGTCTATAAGTCTGATTTTTTAATACTTTCTTAAGTCATAAAATCAAATTTCGGTTAAGACAAATTTTAAAATTTTTGAAAGAGTATATAATCAGATATCAAGCGAACTCTGTATCTTCTCTGAAAGGTCACCGAAGGATATCTATTGAAAGTGAGTTAATCTCTGCAACTCAACCTTGTGTTATTTTCAAAGTTTTAATGTACGCTTACATCTTGCTGTTTACTCGATATAATTAGTATTGATAAGATATACTTATACAATTTTCATGTTAAGATATTCTTATAATCACCTAAAACATTGATCGAGAATAAATGTATAATGTCATATGCATAGCTACAAAAGTATTTATGAGCTTCCACCTTAGCTGAGTGTGTGCTTGTGGGTCATAAGGTGTTAACTAAAAATTTCTTCTATTGTTATCAATTTTCTGTGTTTATTTTTGATATGTAAACGCTTCCACTAAATTTTATAATAGAAAAGCATACGTTATCAGCAAGCAAAGCTATATTTGTCGTGTAAAAATAATTACTTTCCTAAGTTAGTTGAAAGAGGGTCATTAGTTATACAATTCGTAATCACAATAAGGTAGGAATTTATCGATAAGACAGTCTGTGATTTCCAGACAACAAAGAAAGATTTAAACAAACGATGTACTAATTTCTTGTAATTAGTTACTGTTTAAAATTAAAAAAATAGTTTGTAAATTTATTTCCCACAGAAAATTTTGATTTCACACGCACGCACGTGTGTAGATAGATATTAATAAATGCCAGTGTATATGTGTAGATATCTTACAAATGTATCTAAGTAGCTTCGTTCTTCATACATTGATCTACTTTGGCGTACGACGTACAAACAGACATACATATGTATATACATAAATCAAATAAATAGTTACCGATGCACGACTAAACTGTTTCTTCTCGCTTCCTGTTCAGCATTCATTAGTGCGTACATTCAACCCACAACCCACAGTTGGTTGACTGACCGACCGCCTGGTGATTGATTCTCTACTTTTTGTTTGTTGCTGTCTTCATGGACAGCTGTCATCTTGTCTTAAGCTGAGCAGCATCAGCACAGAAAAAAAAAAAAAAAAACAGTAACTGAGATAGAAATAATTAAAAAGAAATGAATTTGCAAGCACAAATGAGATTTTAATATATTTATATTATTGATATATAAATATATATGTATCTTACTACTTGGGCGGTGATTTCTTTTGCCAATGTTGAAATCCCACTTAAATTAGCCATATGTAAATGCATATGAGTTTACCTCTATCTGCTTACTCATATTTATATAGTAGTATATATGTATATACATATGTCATCTCAGTTACTTAATCAAATCAAATTAAACCAATCGATTCGTAACGAATTAAAATTATATCAAATCAAAACCAAGTGCTTCTTCAGCTCATCATCATTAGCTCTCGTACATATGTATACTTATGTATCGTTATGTCATTGTTCCACGACTAAGTCAACGGCGAACGGTCAATAACTTTTGCATTAAATCTGGTTATTTTCTATGCATATATTAACGAGTAGTAAAAACGCTTAGGGCAAACCAATTTTGCGGATGTTTTGAAGTTCTGTTGTTTATATACACACGTTCTTTGCCGCTTAATAGAATTAGCCTTTGATAATATCTTTTATTTTTTAATTAGTATTTTCTTTTATTTTTGCAGCAGATTTCGATTATTTCGCATAAATTAATATATTTAAGCGTGAGCAGAGAAATTATGTTAGGTCTAATTGTCGCAGTGATTCTCTTGGCTCACAGTTCAGTTGTGCAAATGTTGAAAAGCTTATAGCCTAGTAGTTTGAGCGCAATATGTCCCTTACAAGTTTTCATAGAAATTTATATACTGAATCAAAACATCCCTATATATTATATACATACATATATCATGAGTACATCCAAATAATCAGCAGTATTTCTGTACATCCCCCAAAGCAAAATATACATCCTTGTATATTGTAGATGACTGTGAAAAAAGATCAGTCTTAAATATTTATTTAACATTAATAATTATTAATTATAATCGTCGATTCAACTTAAAAAAAATTTGGATTCCCTTGACCCTGTAGCCAATTTCTAGGAACACTTCTTAAAAAAGGTGTGTGGCAAGGAGAATGATTCTTTTGCTTAAAATTATCTCAAATCCAAAAACCGAAAAAATTTGTCATTACTATAGATGAATACAGGTGACGATCGAAAGACTAGTCAAATTTCTACAAAATGGTGGCTTCCAAGAATAAAAATTGTTTTTTGTAAAAAAAAAATGTACACTCAAAAACTACAAAATCAATTTTTCGAATTTAACAAATTATTTAATATATTTTTGACTTTAGTGGCATGTTAATCTCTTGCGTTAGGATAACTATAGAATACATCGAAAAATCGCATATTACAATTGAGTAAAACTTGAGTACTGAGGCCTTTCCCGACATGAAAAAGCTATCGACATGTAGTGCCTTCTCCACACTATTTATCGCCAAAACGGCCATGGACGCTAAAACCCTTGGTCTTAAGCAATTTGTGTGATTTGAAGAAAACTGAAAAATTAGATGTAGAAATTAAAAAAAAAATAAATCTATTTTAAACAAAACATGTAAACAAAGTCTTATACCTGATTTTTATACTATTAGCTGCCTTTGATACAGTAAAGCTTGTTGATTGCCGAATCGAAGAAGTCCCTGTCATAAGCGGGAATACATTTATTGAAAAGAGATCAGGGCTTAAATGTAGTAAATAGAAAAGTGGTGAATCGTAGACGAATATTGTAGTTTTTTGGCAAAAATCTGACTGTTAATTTGACAGTTGATTTTGTAGTGTTATAATTCTTAAAGAACGCGCTACTGAAGGTTACAGAAGCTCATGCATGGACCCTTTAGATGGCCACGATAAATGTACTTAACTGAAATTAAGAATATTTAGTGTTGGAACCTTGATATGCTTACATTTATACGAGTATATATTTCTCTATTTGCATAGCGGCTAAAATCAAAGCATTCTGAATCCTTTGCGACATGAAAACTAAGCAGAATCATCAATAACAATGCTGGAAAGATTCTACTCTAAAGTGTGTGCCTGCTTTCGCAAATCTCCTGATTAGTAGTAATTAATGCAAACCATATAGAGTCAAAAGCAAACGTGTAGTAATTATTTATGTAGTCATAATTTAATGTCTTTTTAAGGCTTGAACTCAAGTACGTACACACAACCTAAATTATTTACAATATCACTGCAATTTATGTTTCAAAAGTATATGCATAAGTAAGTGGCAAATGTAACATATGTATGCACTTAGAAAGTGTTTAGATACTTGCATTCAAACAATTACCGCTGAAATTTCGTGTACGAGATTTGCTCTTAATCGTGCTTCAACCACTACAATATTTCCAGTTACGACTTGTCATCCACCACTGTTGGGTTGTTGTATCTTTCAGTTCGTCATTAACTTTGCTTGTTTTTAGAATGTATCTCATAGATACACGCATACATACAAATCTACGCCTTGTTCGCCTTTTACTCATAGTCAAATAGTTGTGTGCCTGTGTGTATTTTTCCACAAAGCGCTCATTTATATTTACTCTCACGCTTGAGATTGTAATCATTGCTCAGCGCTTGCGATCATTACGTACTTTCTAAACATTGTGTACACTGACAAAAATAATTTTAATTACTGAGTTTAATTTATAACTGCTTATATTATATTTACGAGTAAAATTGTTTGCTGTAATGCTTGAAGAGTGCAGTATATTATTTATTTGTTGAAATTTTTATTTTTATTTTGAATTACTCCAATTAAATTCCTATTGGCCTCACACTCGTGAGTTCAAAGGCTTTATCAAGTTGCAGAGCGCGAGTTTTCCAGCAGTTTGGAAAAGTATACAACAAACATACATACTCTAGATCGAGAGAGACCAGGTATATAGCGTACAAATATGCTTGAGCCCAAATTACCGATCACCCAACTACCCAGAGCACATGAGCGGTGGTGGTGGCCAGCGTATAATGAGTGACCAGATACTGAGCCGTACTCCACTCGACTAGTCTCGTGCTTGGCACATCGTATACGAAGTGAACCTCTTTGAATACATAACTTATAGTTGGTATATATATAAGTATATATATGTACATATAGTATTACACTCACAACAAAATATGCCTAAAGTATACACATTTGTTGCGGGGTGTGGAAAAATGATCGGGGATAACAAAATAGTGAGGGAAAAAGATCGATTGTTTGTATGCCACGCTATGCCAGCGTAATGTACGTAGCAATGTCTATACGTAAAATTACAGTACGTTGTAGTTTGAATGTATTGCGCTCGTCGGTCTTTTGATTGTTTTCCAGTCCGTTGTTTTTTTTTTTTTTTTGTTTTTTATTTTGTGTTTTAAAATCTACGGGGTTCGGGTTGCCAACGGACACTTTGTAGCTACACCAATTCAAAACTAGAGTTTAGTCTTATAAGAGTGATGTTGGTGTGTAGATCGCGTTTCGCTGCGAGTGCGCCGAATTATAGTTTCACATAAACTCGACTTAAATGTCGCATTAATTAAATGCAAGAATGAATTAAATTAATAAAAAAAAAACAATATTTTTAATAAAAAATTAATTTTTTACGACACCGTAACTTGCCTTAACCAAATTTATAAACGCAAGCAGCAAAAAAAAACTAAGTGTTGAAAAAAGTTTGTGCAAAAAATATGAAGTCGACAACGCAAGCTTATAACACTCTTCCTCAAACATTTACAAGAAACTAACGTTTTTTTCAAGCTTCCCTAAAGCTTCAATAAAAAAGTAACAATTCGAAAAAGTGTAAAAGTATAGATTTAGTTTTCGAATTGAACACGCAAATTTACAAATATACTAAATTACGTCTACTTCGCAAACGGTGTACAAAAAAAAAGCATTGTTCAAATTACACTCCAAAAGCGTAAGCGCTTTAGAATGAAGGCCTTGTTGTGCCCTTTTATGTACGTTTATTCGCTTGTTCTTTTCCATTTCTAATCAAGATAATTGTTTTTCGCAATTTTTGATACGTTTTTAATTTAATAAATAAATAACAACAACAACAAAAACTGATGCACGTCAACCGACAAATAACAAAGTATACAAAAATAAAATAAAACGCTATAGAAAAACCACAAAAAAGCAAGAAGTAAAGAATCAACACGAAAAGCAACAAGAAGCGAATGTAAACGGCCAGAAAATACCAGTACATTTAAGTGTAGAGAAATTTACCGCCTTTTATGAATGTATTTGTAAAGCGAAGCCAGCGCATACCACTACAGGCGCAACTCGTACGGAGCGGACGACAACCACCACCATTGCAATGCACGCCATTATGGAATCTCAACGGCACAAATACACAGCAAAAAAAAAAAATTAAATAAAATTAAAAAAAAATATTTAGTAGAGTACCAATTTACAGTAAGAATTGAGAAAAAGAGGCACCACGCTGGAAGACTGTCTCCAAAATGCACCAACACATGCACAACAAACTCACTGAAAGCGTTCGTAGGCGCTTGTTGTTAGTGCGTGTGAACCATGAATTTCGCAGACACCGGTACGTCAGCTGCCATTTGCTGATATCCACTCACTTTTCAATTTGCCGAAAATCACAAGGTTTGCAAGCGACCAGATTTGAAACAACTACAAAAAGCTGTTGACTTTGTAACGTTCGCGCGTTAGAGCAATTAATGCTCGGCAGGCTATACACAGCATGGAAATATACTTTTCGAGAAGTGTATAACCACTTACGGTTCAAATAAGCGTTAGATTTTTGGAAAAAATCACAAAATTTGAGATATTTTCTCTAAACTCCTTACGATTTTTGCTGGTCTGTAGTAATGACAAATACATTATTTTCTGATTTAACGCTTCAATGCGGCGCTACAGTGCCTTCGACAGCCGGCTTGTAAACACACACATACACGCCAAAACACATTGAAAGGAGAATGTATGTAAAGTTACGCCTGTATGTGTTCTCCACTCAGCAAAAATCAACAATAATGTCCACAACGTCATTATATCCATCATCAGCATCATCATCATCATCATAATCGCCAACGTCATCATCATTGGCAGCAACAGCGGCAGTAGCGACGACAGCAGCGTTGTATATAGCCATAGCCACCATCGCTACACTTTGCTCCACCTCACGCCGTTAGCAGTAAATCCACAATCTTTTCTCACACTGCCGGTTGACCGCAACAACCGATCGTCACGAATACCAACAAAACAATAGCAAAATAAACGAACGCCTCAAAAACTGCTAGCTGGTAACCCTATATGTGCCTGTAGCAGTATGTGTGTGTATATAATGTAAGTGTATTTGTGTAGGTATATAAAAATGCGTTAAGTATGTAAATGTAAATCCATTACTTATTTCGGCTTTGATATATTACTTTATTCTACATATTGTGTGAAAAAAAATTTTTATTTCGTTGCCTTATGTATTTTTTTTTCTTATTTTATTGCAAAATCAGCAATTATAAATTTATTCTTATACATATTTTTTTATTTACTTTGCTTTTCATTATTTCGTGCGCGACTTCGTACATTAATTACAGACTTGTGTATACTTATATACGTATTATTATTTGTCTATATGTACCTAGTAGTAATTATTATGTACTTATGCATATACAAACATGTTGTTATTACGGAATTCTAAATCGAAATATTTAACGTCCATTCAGTGTTTGTTTTTTACTTCCTTAGTAAAATACACATACACATACATACTTATGGCGCATAACTGCAATTTGCATACACAAAGTGCTTGCAAGCAATTTTTAGGCTGTCGAAAGTAGATCAGTGAATTGTAATAGAGAAATTGAGAAGCAGTGCAAAAAATATATTTTAAATGCATAAATTGCAGTAAACTCTATGAAAACTGAGAAGCTTACAAAAACTCTAAGAAAAAAAATTGGTTTTGCAATTTTTTGTTATTTCGAAATTTTGCAACCATTTAAATAAATATAAGCCTTCTTGTTGTTTTGAAAAATATTCAATTGCGAAATTTGTTATAAAAAGTGGAGTTCAATAAACTTTTGACTTTTTTGCTATGAGGCTTTTGTGCTCCAAAACTGTGATAACTAATTAGTTTGCACATTTTTTTATCGTGATCTAATTTAGTGCAAGTTTTGTAATTATTACCATTTCAATAAACAAATTTTATTATATTGGTGTTCAATGTAGAATCTTTTTCAAAATTGATTTTATTCAAAATTGACTGATTAGTGAATTTTAAAACATCATTTTACTTTTCAAAAACTTTTCACAGCGACTTACACCTTATATATCCTTTTTCGATTGAAATAATTTTAATAGTAATGCATTTCAATATTTTCTCAAATGCTATGACTTATTGAGGTTCATCGGCACATTTCTCATAAATTTCTAGTCAAATATATTTATGTATATATATATATATATATCAAATATACATATATTTAAATATTCTTAGCGTTTAAAATTTATTTTTTGTACCTTTGACTAAAAACTCTTAAATTTAGCAATTTTGTGTTAAAATTAAAAATCAGTTATTAAAACCAAACAATTACTAACTTACAAAGTAAGATCACATAAATTATAATATTTAAAAGTTTTTTATCTCATATCCAAGGGCTTTGTCGAAAAAGCTGTATTCAAAAAGTTTGAAAATGGAAATTTAATTTAGTTTCTTATTATTTATTTGCTCCCTTTTATAAAAAAAATGCAACAAACGTAGTTATTTCTTCAATAAAGTGTTTTAAAAATTCAATTTTTTTTTAAATTAAGTTTTTCGAACAGATTTTTAATTTAGTCACTTAGCATATTTCATTCATATATCAATACTACTCTAGGCCGATGGAACAATTTTATAATTTAAAAACCGGCTCAAAACTCAAAATATTTTTTTCAGAATCATTAACAAGCATTTATTAGAGTGAGGCGCTTTTCAGATCGTTCTTTAATTAAGTCAATTACTAATATTTCTCTACATATATAATAAACGAATGGCCATTTTATTTTAGTTAATTTTTTTTTTTTAATATATTTTTATATTATATTTTTTATATTATATTTTATACTCTGAACAGGCAATATTAAGTTTGCCACGATATTTGTAACACCCAAAAGGAAACGTCAAAGATCATGTAATATATATATGTATATATAAATGATCATTTGGCCATGTCAGTCTGTCTGTATAGTATATGCGAACTAAACTCCCAGTTTTTGAGAAATCAATCTGAAATTTTGCACCTGCCCTTTTCTCAGCAAGAAGCTGCTCATTTGTCGGAACGGCCGATATGGGGCTACTATTGTATATAATATATATATATACTGACCTATCAAAGTTCTTGTGAATAATTTTTTAATTTCGTTTAGCTTCGATGCAGCCGTAGTTAACGTTTTTTCTTGTTTTACTTGCCTTTATTTAGTTTTTTACATTTTATGTTGTTTTCTTTTGCTTCAATTTATTTCCCTTCACATAACTTAATTTTGATTTATTTAAGTTTTTAAATTTATTTTACATTAAATTAATGTATTTTACTCAATCGTTTATGTTTTTCACTTTCTGTTATTTTATTCATATTAAAATTTTAAATTTCGCTTCATTTCATTTTCTTTCTCAATTTTATTTTTGCATATAATTTATATAATGATTTGGTAACATTGTTAACATAGTTTAGTTATGATTTAGTAAAATAATTTATTTTATTCAATTTAATTAAAGACAATTTAATTTTTCGTTACATTGATGCCATATAATTATATAATATTTTATTTTTAAAATTTCATTTAATATAATTTTATTACATAATATAATTTATATACATATTTACTATTTATATACATATTTTTTATTTCTCTTTATTCGTTGTTATTTTATATAATTTCTGCCAATTTCTTTACCGTATCCTATTCATAAAGCTGGCGATTTCTTTAAATATTTATATTGGCAATCTAAATGATTTGCTATTTTTAGTTGTTTGTTTTGTTTGTCTCTGTTTGCCCTATTTAATAGTTTTGTTTTTGTGTAAAAAACACATTTAAATTCATAA